AACTTATATTATTATTACTAAATTTAGCCTAAAGAATATTCATCTATATTAACTAAACGAAAGTTTAATAACAATAAATAGAAAATAAAATTAATCAGCAACTAGGCGCATATTGAAAACTCTTCAATTTTCGTTTCTTTTCAATTAAAATTAGTATTCCGATTTCATATCCGGATCTTTCACACACGAACAGAAGTCGCAGCTGCATTTGAACATTCAGTGGAATTTCGGCACCTCGGCGGGTTTTGAAAGGTCTTTGGGTTAGCCCTTCTCACTCAGTGCGAGGCGGAAGTGCGTGAATATAATGGAACCTATTCAATTACTACTTAAAAACGCCCAACACGTTCTAGACTATCTGGTCTATTTACTAATGCAGCCCACACAGTCTGTCTGGCGGGTTGACAGTTCACACTTGGCAGCAGCAGCAGTACCAGCAGCAGCAGCAGTACCAGCAGCAGCAGCAGGAGGAGCAGGAGGAGCAGGAGTAGCAGCAGTTGTCAGTTGTACTTTCGCTCTCCATGGACAAACAATCAACGAAATGTGTACTAAAAATACAAATACAAATATCATAACAATAAGAGGTAGTCAGCGAAAGGAATATCTATTCCAAGTCTCTCCTTCTCTCCTTCTCCCTCTAACTCTCACTGACAGATGAGCGCAGAGAAAACATTTGTAGGGGCTAATCTTTAAGTGGAAATCTGTTTTACCCCATTTGAAGTGGCGAGGCTGTGGAAAATATTAAAAAGCAATTTCGAATCTTTCAACATATTGCCTTTCGCCTTGGAATTTCGTTTTAATTAAGCCCACTTGAGTGGAGGAAACTTAAGGTAAACTGCGTCGACTGTTTGCCCTCTATTTGTAAATATTTGTGGTGGATTTTTACACAATTTCAAGACAGCTTGACAAATGCAATGAACTACACACACACATATGTAGACATGCACACACACACACACTTACAACTAATTACTTGCCACGCACTTGAACTAGTTTTTCAGTTGCCTCAGCATGAAGAGAGAGAGAAAGAGAGTGAGAGAGAGAGAGAGAGAGAGAAAGAAGAGAGCTGAGGCTGAGACCTTGTCTCAGTTACATTTTGATAAGATTTAGCTATATATACATATACATATACATACAGCCATCTCCATGTTTCTCTGTCTCTGCCTGCATGGGGTGCTCT